GGGTTGGGCAGTCATTGGGGTCCAATTAAAAAGCTTTAAATTAATTAATTAAATAAGCTAGACTAAGCTGGGCTGGGCTGGGCTGGGCTGGGCTGGGCTGGGCTGGGCTGGGCTGGGCTGGGCTGGGGGGGAAGCGGCTGGAATGGGCTTGGATAGGAATGGGGAGGGGTTGGGCATGCATTGTAAACCAAGTGGGTTGAGGCAAACGCGGGTGGCGCCGACTGCAGTTGAGTGCGGTTGGTAGCGCAAGGAGAGCCACGCTAACTTCTGGGCACCGCCCCAGCGGGGTCGGCGGATATATACACATCTACATTGACCCGGGAAGCTGGGTCCCGGTTTCTTCCCCTTTCCTGACGACGAAGTTCCGCCCTGAAGACGGAATTCGGTCTGGGCAAACTGAGGACGAAATTCAAGCGAAATTCGGCCCGAAGACGCAATTCCTTAGCATTCAAGACCCATTGCAGACGTTGCTGGGCTCCTGAAATCTCCTGAATGTTATTCGAATTCGACCGCAAAGACAGAATTCGGCCCTGAAGACGACCTTCGGCCGCGAAGGCGAAATTCCGCCGCCAAGACCCGCCCCCATAGTTCCAAGATGTTCCAAGCTCATATGCGGTTTGGCTTCAAGGGGGCGCCCATCAGTTCAAGGCTCCATCCTCGGAGTTCAAGGTCATGAGAAGTCAAACCTTTAAATCAGCTGCGTTTCAGTCGTCTCCTTGTAAAATCGCCCCATCAGTCCAAAGTTTCATCATCGGAGCTGATGCTTTTTAAGAGTTTTCAGATTCAGCAGCCAGGCTTCATCCTCGGAGTTTTAGGTTTCAAAGATATAAAAATAGATATAAAAAGATATATAAAAGCTCCAGAATGTAAAGTCTCTTGCACGCCATCATTTCAAAGACTCGTTTCTCGCAGTTCACGGTGTAGACGAGTATTGACGCTCAAATCATGGGGGGCCCGGCACAATCAGGCTCCATCCCCCGATTTTAACGTGTAGATTCTGATTGCGCAGCACCCGTAGCCACGTTGGCTCAAGGCGGACATAGGGCTCAAGCGATGTGCTCAAGGCGTAAGTTCAGAGGTGAACCCGCCATACATGCTGGCCTGCTGCCGGGAGGGTATCTTTTGCATTTCGTGACACCTTCCGATTCGGCAGTGACTCCAACTGGCAAGAGCTTCAAGAGAGCCACGCGTTCCCCCTCTTTCAGAATTACTCGGGCGCATTGAGGGGCAGCAGTGGCCCAAATGGCCAATGTTGTTCGTGGCGAAATCCAACGTGCGTTAGCTCTGATGGAATAACAGTTGCGCCAGATTCATGTTTCTTTGGGCCACAGAGTTCAAGAAATGCAAAGCACCATGTCTCAGCAAGGTCAGCGGATTGAGAAGTTGGAAAAACTGCTTCAGAACGCAGGAACTTCGCGATCAACGACATCAGAGAAGGACATTTGTTTGGAAAAGAAGACCACGGATTTGCAAAACCAGTCGGCAGCGTTGAAGCAGCAAGACACCAATTTGCAACCGGATCACATGCGTATCCCGGTGGTGGGTGGATTGGGCGGTTTCCCATGCAGGCAAGATGCGACAAGATGGCTCACGGACGACCTCAGCACTGAACGGCCCCCAACACGTTGCAAGTTACATCAAATCGCAAGATTTCCGTGCTTTGTTGTTCCCCCATTTCAAGTCCACAGTGGGTCGTGATACAGTTGTAGCACTGTTCAGAAGTGCTGAATTGCAGGAGCACAGCAGTAGGATATGGGCAACAATTTTCGCTTTGCTTTGATAATGCTGCGTGCCAAATCGCGGCGTGAGCGTGTTGTCATGCTGGAGTCGTCATTGAAGGCTGAGTTGGCGTTAGTTAGCTTATCGTTGAATGCAGCGAAGACTCGCATCTTCACAATTGTCACTTTTTCAGAGATCTCTTTCAATGGCATTGGCGGTGACATGATTCCGGTTCTAAGTCACGACGACGCGCCTGTATACCTGGGACGGAAATACGCGGTAAGTGACAGGGGTGGCACATCGCATCAGTCCAGCTTGGGGCTATTGCTATAACTTGAGGCCTTTACCTGTGAACAAGTGTTTGTGGCATAGGCATCAAAAAAAATTTGATAAGCATCAAAAAATGATAAGCATCAGAAAAAATTTGATAAGCATCAAAGAAATATTTGTAGAAAGGCCTTAAGGCTTAGTGCGGTTTAGGGTTTAGGGGCCTGTGGGACTTTGGGGCTTCGTGATTGGGGTTTTGGGGTTTAGGGTACATGAATTTGAGGATTCAAAGATCTAGCGCTCTAAGGTTAGTGCGGTTTAGGGTTCAGGGGCCTGTGAGACTTTCGAGCTTTTTGAGTGGTTTTAGGTTTAGGCTTCAGGGTAGGTGGCCTCAGCCATTTCCGTTGCAGCAGCCTCGCAGTCCCTGCTGCCACGAGTGCAGCTTGGATCGAGTCAGCTGTCCTGGCGTGACGTTGCAAACCAGTTGCAAAAGGGTAGATGACATTGAAGGTTCAGAGGTTTGGGGCTCTGAGG